GTTTAACACGGTGTTGGTAGCCCCTCTGATATACCTAATTTATTGATATATTTGTGTTTTATTGAGGTTGACGTCCAAATAAATCCTTATTGAAAATTTTATGGTTGAAAATTGTCGACTATTATGTACTTTTATATTTCTTCCTTCTCCTTCGCTTCTGTTCTTCGTTAACGTGCTCTTGTTCATGAATCCGCTAAATACGCCTTTGCTATGTTTAATTAACCCGTGATTTACGTGATATGTGCGGAATTTCCTGTGCCTCGCTTCCAATGACAGAACCTCAATCTTAAGATCTTGGAGATTTCTGGTTACTAAGAGAAACAATTTCGAATTCTCTGGTTTACTACAGAAGCACACTTTCGGAATTCTGCGTCCTCAAAGAAAAATACTTTGGACACATTTTCTGCGTATACTAAGGAAAGAAAACATTTTTTGGAATTTTCTGGCTCATACTAAGAAAGAAAATATTTTGAATTTCTGGTATACTAAGAAAGAAAATATTTTGGAATTTCTGGTTTACTAAGAAAGAAAATATTTCGAATTTCTGGTTTACTAAGAAAGAAAATATTTCGAATTTCTGGTTTACTAAGAAAGAAAATATTCTGAAAAGAAAAATTTTACATATACTAAAAGAAAAAATTTCTGGAATTTCTGGTTACTGGAATTTCTGGTATACTAAGAAAGAAAATATTTTCGAATTTCTGGTATACTAAGAAAGAAAATATTTTGGAATTTCTGGTATACTAAGAAAGAAAATATTTTGGAATTTCTGGTATACTAAAGAAAGAAAATATTTTGGAATTTTGGTATACTAAGAAAGAAAATATTTTGGAATTTCTGGAATACTAAAAGATATTTTGAGACAAGCTTGTATACTAAGAAAGAAAATATTTTTCGAATTTCTGGTTTACTAAGAAGAAAAATATTTCCGAATTTCTGGTTTACTGGAATTTCTGGTTACTAAGAAAGAAAATAGTTTGCGAATTTTCTGGGTTTACTAAGAAGAAAATATTCGAATGCGTGGGTTTAACTAAGAGAAAATAATTTCGAATTTAATGAGTATAGTTTTTTGGGCTGGTTGCTTGTTGCTCTAGAGAAAGAAAACTTATTTGAATATTCTGGTATAATTCGGAGAGATAGAAAATATTTATCATGAATTGTCTGTGTGTTTGAGCGCTTAGAGTAAATGGGCTAAAAATAATTTTGAGTGTTATTAGTTTCTGCGCTACTATTGTATAGAGTATAGATATAGGGAATATTCTGGTATATTTGGGAGATCGAGAGGAAAGAATATGTGATATGTTTGTTATAGTTCGTAAAGTAAGAAAATATTTGGAGACTTATCTGGTTTTATTACGCGAGAAGAATAGAGGACAGAGGTTCTGGTTGCATGATATAAGTAAAAGGAAAATATATTTTGTCGTATATATTTGGTGTTTAGGTTTGATTAGAGAGAGAATATAGGTCATTTTTGGAATTTCTGGTATTTAGCTAAGCAAAGGAAAATATTTCGAATTCTGGTTACTTTAATGATATGTACACTATAGTATTTGTTTGTTGGAGATTTCTGGTTATTGCGCACAGAAAGAAAAATTTCGAATTGTCTGCGTATATGTTCTTGAAGAAAGATATATATTGTTATTCGGTTTGCTTCGCATTTCTGGGGAATGGGAAAAGAGCGCAATAAAATTTTCGAATTTCTGGTTACTAGAAGAAAATATTTGGAATTTTCTGGTATATTGTTTGTCTAAGAAAGAAATATTTGAGGAAAATTGGAGATTCGTAAGAATATGAGAGAGATGAGGTTTGGAATATTTATACTGGAGAGCGGGGAGATATCTTAATCGGAAAGAAAAAGAAAATAGTTTTTCAGCACGCATTATATATAACGTAGACCACGAGCGTTGCCAGTGATAGAATTGCAAAAGTAAGTCTCTCTGTCGTCGCATCTCAAGATTACCATCAAAGACAGCGTCTCGAACTTTTTTTTTAGTCGCTGGGAGAGAGAGGAGAGAGCTTGGTGAATAATGGTGAAGTAGTCTTTAAGAGAATGGTTATTGTCAAGCGAATATTTTTTTCTTGTAGCCCGAGGANTCTCTCTCTCTCTCTCTCTCTCTCTCTCTCTCTCAGACAGACGATTACACCCACACGCAAGCAGGGCCGATTCCATCTATACACATACACATTTAACAATAGACAGAGAGGTGTAAATATTTCTTGCAAACAACTACAATACTTAGTGTACGTCAGCAGCAATTCCTATAATAACGCTTGCAGACGCATTAGTGTACATAAGGACTATTTTCCCGCTGTGTAGGAAATGGGTTATCATTGTTTTTCTTTTCTTGTTTTGTTTTGTTTTGTTTTTTTCCTGCGTTCGCATTTACTACCTTGCAACATGCTGAACTGTTTCCTTGTATATGTATAACAAATTCCCTTTTTCAGCATTACTACATACAGGTGTTCACTCGCGGTAAGTGTTAAATAATGATTTTTACGATTTCAAAATCAGTACATTTTTATTCGTTAATACAAAAACAATGTTAGATTTCTTGGTTATAAACGTAAAGGATTTTTTTTAAGAATGAATAAATAAATAGATAAATGAATAATAATGATTTTGCTGTTGATACCAATAATTAGAATAACTATAATGACAAGACAGTAAAAAAAATCATAACAACAAACATTAACATTGTATATAAGAGCACCATCAACAAAACACTCACAATAGCGATGAGATGAAACAAACGAAACAGTTCAGAATAAAGACCATTTCGGGTTCGTATAAAAAATATATATCAGACTAGACGCACGAGATACAAAAGGAACAATTATTGCGTCCCAAACTTGGCCATCTTGTTGTTTATGGGAGATCTCATGAACCTCGGGGACGACATGTACCGCTGAATGGGTTCGAGACTTTCGAAGCGCTTCTGAAACTCCTGGAGGTTCTTGACGTCCTTCAGGCAGATGTCGCTCAGTTGCAGGTGTTGGTCGAGGAGTTCGTACATGATGAAGTCCACAAAGGTAATCTGGTGAAAAGCAGAGAAGAAGAGAAAGGGATAATAACGGTGAATATGAAGAGTAACGGATATAAAAGGTGGTTTAAATACACCGCGCGATCGCACAGAATTTAGGAAGAAACGATTTTCATTCTTGTTACTTTGGAAAACCTTTTTATACTGTTCTTTTCTAATCTCTCGCACATTAACAATTTACTGGCCTAGTTAAAAAGCAAAGTAAATTACATTTTTTCATGAGAAAGAAATGGAGCTACAAATGAAACTTCGAGATCCTCCAGTTCGGTGAAGTTCGCAACACCGGAAATAGCAACGTCACTTGAAAATAAAAAGGTAAATAAACAACACGATCAGCCTCACCTTGTCCCCGGCGAACCAAGGATTACTCCCGAGGAACTGTGAGAACTGCTTGAGTGTTTGAGGAAGAGCTTCGAGGTAGCGGTGCTTCTGCATGTTCTGAAAATGAGGAAGAGCGAGGCAGTTAAGCCCAGGCCGAAAATTACGACTACAGGGATAGACTAAGTTCGTTTTGAATTCATGGATATTTTGTATGCTTCCCCACCCCCTCGAAAAATGCTATTAATGGTAGAAACAATGTAAATATAATGGGAATAAATACTTCAGTTATTACAATAATAATAACTAAGGCGATGGCATTATTTGCAATAATTACTGTGCTAACAACTGTATCAAGAACAATACCAATAACATACACGAACAATACAATAACACAAAGCCCAATAATCAACACAATTTTTTTACCAAACTTTTCCTCTTCCTCTCTCTCTCTTTCTCTCTTTCTCTCTCCCTCCCTCTCTCTCTCTCTCTTTCTCCCTCTCCCTCTCTTTCTCCCTCTCCCTCTCCCTCTCCCTCCCTCTCCCTCTCTCTCCCTCCCTCC